TGTAGGACGCTATTAACGTAACTACCTCCAAATTATTTAAATTGTGCAAAACTGAATATTAAAAAACTAAATATCTACTATGTTTTCAGAATCTATATTAGGTAATGAATAGATATTGATAAAATTATAAAATTTTGTAAGGGTTTTGGATTTATACATAAGGCGCTTAAAACAGAAACAGTTTTTATCACTTTTCCTGGGCCCAGGGGTTATGGGACTTCTATGTATCCATGTATTGTTTTGCATTATTGTAAAATCCTTTTTAGTTACTAGTAGCGAGGTCAACTTCAGATATGAAAACTCAAGTGCATTTATAATCGATGTGTCTACGGTTGCAGCATTACCATGATGTGAGAGTGTTTGCTCTGTGAGCTCGTTTGTTACTTTATTTTTATAAAAACTCTACGCGTAGAATACGAATAGGATAGGGCTTACCGAAAACTTTACGACAGTTTCTTGATATGAATACGAGAGGCCGCCATTTTAAAATCATTGCAAATTAAAACAAAATGCGATCAGATAGGTTTGCCCTTCAAATAATGAAATGATATAAATAATGCTAAAATTTATTTCATGTACTTTAGATAAATTTTACACCACGTGATTAACTTGGGTTCGACCCCCGCTGGCGCCAATGAAATTATTAATTGCAATTTTAAGTGCTGGCTTACCACGTGCACGACGGTGAAGCTAGACTTCGCGAGGAAACCTGTCTGAGAGATAAAAAAAATATTTCGAGGACGTGAAGTCCGCCACCACGCATTGGGGCATCGCAGAGGACATTTCCTTGCTCTAAAACTCTTAGAACTAAGAGCTTCTAGCGGTAGGACGTACTAGGGTGGTATGAAAAGTTTACGACCCCAACGTGAAGACGGTAGCACTCGCCAATAAAAGCTTGTAAATGTAGTTGTGCAACTCTTGACAGTTACGTACTAAAACGTCAGCCATTTTTGACGCATAATTGTTATTCGACAGTCGTTTAAGTGAGATGTGAATGTTGTTGTGAAGATAGAAAAAATTGAGTGTTGAGCTGTCATTAAATTGTTGGTTTCGAAAGGTAATACGCCTATGTAAATCATAGATGAGTTGGACTTTTTTATGGACCATAGTGAGAGCCAGCTATGGAGACGATGAACGTTCGGAACGTCCAAAAACTGCAACTACTGACGATAACGTCGATAAAGTTCACCAAATGATGTTAGACGACCGCCAAATTAAAGGGAGAGAGATAGCAGAGGCTATAAAAATGTCCAAAGCTACATAATAAGTCAAGATTTAGGCATGAGAAAGCTGTCAGCGCATTGTGTGCCGCGTTTGCTCACGTTGGACGAAAAACGTGTTCGAATGAACACTTCCAACGCTCTGTTGGCGCAGCTTAGGCGCAATAAATCCGACTTTTCGCGTCGGTTAATTACTGTAGACGAAACTTGAATACGACATTATACACCTGAAACAAAAGTAAAGTCAAAACAGTGGACTGCAAAGGCGGCACCGGCTCCAAAATAAGCAAAAATCGTTTTTCTGGCTGGGAATGTGATGGCGACTGTTTTTTTGAGTTAGTTATGGAGTTATCCTAATCGATTATCTTCAAAAAGAAAAAACACATTACAAGAGCAAACTACGCACTATAACTCGACAAATTGGCAGAAATTGCGGAAACACGGCCACATTTGCAGAAAAAGAAAATCCTCTTCCACCATGACAACGCGCCGTCTCACACCTCAGCGGTAGATATGGCGAATTACGCTTTGAACTGCTTGACCATCCGTCTTAATCACCGGATCTAGCCCCAAGCAACTTCTTTTTGTTGCTTCATCAAAAATTTGCGCTCGTAGAACAGAGATTTTCATCAAATGAGGAGGCAATCACCTTCGTGAACAATTTTACAGATCAAAACAATTCGGTTTGGACGGGTTAGAGAGATGGGAGCATCGCTGGGAAGTGAAGTGAAGAAGTGTGTAGAGTTACAAGGAGACTATGTAGAAAAATAAAAATAAATTTTAAGAACGTATATTGGCTGTAACTTTGATTTTACTTTTAACTTTAATTTTTTTAAATCTTACATAACCTCCACGAAGTTAGTGCGCAAACAAAACACAACCTCAGTAAATTACAGCCCTGTTCTTAACTTGCACGCACATAATTTCTTTTAAATTAAAGAATATTTTTAAAAAACTGTGTTTATTTTTAATTCGAATTTGTAGACATGTAAAAACAATCTAAAACAAAACTTTATCATTACAACCGTGACTGCTGCACTTTTACTGCAACGTGAATAAATAAAAAACTATATTTTATCTTCTTGTGTAACATGTTATCTTATTCACACTTGCGCAATAGAAAAGAGAGGAGGTATAGTCGTGAGTGAGCATTTCAATGTAAATTACTGCCATATAAAGATCGCAAATCAGCATCCTTATTTGAAAGGTTACTTGTGTCTACGTCTGGTTTAACGCCGAAGCTTATCCAAGAACATAAATTAATTTTATATCCGTATTCGAAACGAGTACCGTGCAAATTGTATGGTAATTTTGAAAATTAACTTTTAATCAGAATATTTTTTATACCCGATGCTCTTTAAATTACGGGGTTGTTTGATCTAACCTCAGTATGACAACAGAAATTTATTAAATATTTTGACTTTTCAAACCATAGTAACAGCAAACAGCGCAAATGAGCCCCACATAATTTTATTGCCTATCTCAGACACTAGCTCTTCACATATTCTACAATATGACTTTGAACATACCTGTGTTTAAATAGATATAAGTTTTTATTATGTATCGTCTGTATTTTTGAGGAGAAATAATTATTGTTGATTTTGAGTTATTATTGTTATTGAAGAGGTATTTTAAAGTATTCTCATCCGGCTGGGCTGAAAAAATATATAAAAGAAAATGATAAATATACATAAAAATATATTAAATATACTAACATAAATAAATAAATAATACATAAATAAATAAAAGCCCCACCCAGATGGAAGTCCCAGGTAGGGGAGACCAAACGGGCCAGGGTTAGGGGGAAAGGGAAAGAAACCGGCAGACGACGCGATGCGGGCGGTATCGAGTAGCACAGCCTTCTGCATTATATCCCGGAGCGGTCCGTCGCGGAGTCCCAGTCACCTCAGATGAACCGAGAGGCTGATCGGGATTAGCCTATTTGCAGAGACGACTACAGGAATAATTTCGGTTGTCATGCCACCCCACATGTCGTTCACCTCGTGATCCAGGTCCGTATATTTTGTTTTCTAATCTGTTTCGCTTCGCGAGGTTCTCGTCAAGTGGAATAGTTATGTTGATCAAAATTATCCTTGGCTGCGTCCGGTCCATTAGATAAAGGATCGTACTCCACTACCCTGTCTCAGTCAAGTCTAACTGTACAGTCAACCTTCTACAGCTCAAGGACCCTCTTTAGTAATGTATGGGGCACCAAGTCGAATGCCTTTCTGTAGTCTATCCAGGTGGCGGAGAAGTTTTGCCGGTTGCGCTAAACCACTTTGCCAATTACCACGTCAATGAGGAGTGGTTCCTTGGTTCCACGACCACAGCCCCGACATCCAATTTGAGCGCGTGACATCACCTGATTTAGCTGCAGGTGACGAGTGATTCTCGCGCTCAAAATGGACGTCAGTGTATATTATATGGTGGGTAGACACGTGTTGGGGCGGTATTTGCTCGGGTCTGTGATATCCTGATCTTTAAAAATTAAGTGAGTGATCACAGTAATAAAGAGGCTCGTGAACGACTTCTGGTCCGAGAACTTTTTGAAATTGTCTGGCGAGAACAGGGTGACACACTACGAAACTCTTCAGCCAATAGTGATGCAGCCCGTCGAGAAAATGACTATTCCAGTTCGGGACCCTACAGACCGCCTTAGCCACGTGTTCCGGCGTTATGGTGACGTGATCCGTAGACGTAGAATCACACTCTGACTCGCCACAACTTCTGTCCATGGGCTCTGACCACAGGCCGCGCCAGAATACGACAGTGTTGGTCTGATTCGGTGCTGGGCCCGTTTAGCCTTTTCTGATCGCCCTGAAAGAGACGATACTGGTCAAACCGCCTCGACCTGTCAATGTTTTGCCGATTCCGCTTCACCCAAGCAACGATTCTTTGCTTTAGTTCGTCTAAGCGCTCCGTTAGTTTCTGCGTAATATCGGGCTGGGACTCACTACTATCTGTCCCAGCAAACGCCATTCTAACGCGCACACGACCTGAAGCTTGTCAGTCAGCCGATGAAAGCCCTTTCTTTTGAGATACGGTCCTCAATTCTTTTTCTCAAAGCTGGGATAGCACTACTTTGTCCAGTAGCGCGTCCAGCCGTGGCTTGGCGCTAATGATACGGCAGTGCGGCGCTAAAAAGAACTCCTAAAAGTCCTAGCCGGATTCCAAATAGGTCACCAGCATTGAGTATAGAGCCCACACGACAGCCCGATTCCGCTTGTTTAGTAGTTAGCGTAGATGCCGAGAAGTCGTGGTCGATTTTTAGAGGCATACTGCGCGTTTCGTATATCACGCGATTTTTTAAAGACATACTGCGCGTTTAGTATATCACGCGCTTTTTTGGAGGCATACTGCCCGTTTCGTATATTACGCGATTTGTTTAGAGGCATACTGCGCGTTTCGTATATCACGCGATTTTTTAGAGATATACTGTGCGTTTCATAGTTATTGCCTCTTCCAATATGCTCCTCATTCGCTCCAGTTCATGGGCGACTATTTCATCATCGTCTGAGTTAACTACAACTGGAAGATTCACGGCGGCATCTACTTGTGCGGGTTGCTCTGCAACTTGTGGCGCCGCATCCCCAGCCGTAGCATTTTCTTTCGATGAGTGACCAGCCTTACGTCGTAGCCGTTCGAGTTTAGCGCCATCAAATATGTTTGAGCGCAAGATGTACCGAACTCTGTCTGCCAGGTTTTGCTCAGTGACGGTTATAGATACTGGAGCCCTGTTCAGTAGAAAGACGATGCCTTTCGCCCTATAATACGCCCGCAATGCGTTGCTATATATTTGGATTGTCCATCGCATGCGGCGTACTCCACCGGTGGCGACTGCCGATTGCTGGGCCCGCGAAGACCCTCCGACACCAAGCCAGCTGGTGGGTATGTGATGGATGTGAGAGGCCACTTGGTGGTCGTGCAGCACCTTGCGCTCGGCTGGCAGTTCGAATGCAGTCGCGCCCAGCGCCTGCTTCACACGAGTCGTGGCGACCTCCAGGCAGTGGCCTTTTCCACGTTCTTCTCGTTACCATCCTCCATTTAATGGGCGTCAGTCAACGGGAGATACTCAGACCCAGCACCGTTTCGTGATGGGGCCATCTGCACAAACGAGCTTTTGCACCCTCAATTTAGGCACGAGGTTAGTATATCTTGGCAAGGTGCTGACTGACTGCGCCGACGTAGTAGTTTTTTTTTCTTCTTTAAAAAAATGCTAGCAATGCTATTAACATTACTAATATTCCGTTTGACCATTCCTGGTAAGCTTAAAATGCTACTGTTAGGAGTGGTTCACGACAGTAGTCGAATTTCGAATTATTCGAACCTACCTTTTGAGTTCGCGGGCCGCACCCTGCCAGTTAGGCTACTGTCGAATATTTAATTTCGTCACATAACTGTTACGTCAGTGGGCGATGGGGACGTCACTTCCCTACGCCTTATTTTATATTACTATCATCACAGTGGATTCTGTGGCTATTTGACATTTTTTGCACATTGCGTTCTTGATAACTGAGAAGAAATGTCTCGGTATCCGTCAAACCTTTTTTATACGGTGGTAGAGCCACGATGCAGCTATATTATATTTGTAGCACGAAACGGCCAGCTCGACTGCGGAAGGACTATTCTCTCACATATGTGCTTAAAATAGCAGCTTAATGCTGCTGTGTTTTGTATTGTGAGTATAAAGAACTGGAGACCCTTAATACTGGAAACGAGGTATTCAGAACTTTCATTCCATCTTAGTCCTCAGGGGTGACAAGGCATCTTAATCGAAGAGAGATGTGGATATTTATCTGCCACAGCATCCACTTACCGTCAAGTAGGCTGCGTGCTCGTTGGTCACCTTTATCTATCTACATCAATACATACATATAAATGAAATTGTAGCGCCTGTCTCCAATATCGAGAAGACGATTGTGATGAAATATTAAAACAGGCGATGCCAGGAGTGATCCGAAAAACTTAGTATTTTTGTGAAATATAAAAGTTGATAAAAGAAATGGACATTGATAATTATTTTAAAAATTTAAATGATGCCACATTTATATGTCCCACCGAGGTGAAGCCAGGGCGAATTGTTAATTCTGTAATAAAAGGGTCCCAATTCTTACCCTTTCTAGCCACCCCCTGCTGATATTTTGTGAGGACGTGTTCCTTCCCCAATCGAGCTGACTTTCATAGCCGTAATACAGCTGCAACGTGGTATATCACGTAAAAAATATTTTATATATTTTCTACCACGTTTCTATAGAAAAACACAAGGTATTATTAGGCATCTCATCAGAGTGTTTGTCACTCCTAGTTTAATTTCAACAATTTGAGTTGATTTATAAAATGTGATAGATGATATGTAGCCACGCCATTTGTTTTTTATTTTGGTTTTGACGTAAGGTAAGGTAACCACAAGTATATTTCTTCTTCTTTTAAATTATGGCTTCTCTTGATAGAATTCTGCCAGTGTCAAGTCAGTCACAAGTATATTTTAATTTTGAAATGTACTACCTAAATGTTTGACATTGTCTATTTCTTAACTTGCACGGTCAGGAAGAGCAATTAGTTTAACATTTAGATAATGTTTTCCACCCACAAAAGAGGTTAGATAAGATCGCAGGAATCCACGCGGCTCCGTATTCAATTTGCCGGCAGCGCAGTTGTTGAAAAAATAATTAAAAAGGCAATTAAAAGATGCCATAAATCCGTCAGCCGCCCCGCCTAAACACTAAACTATAAATAAACAGATTCATTGTGTTATTTTAGTGGCATCATATACCGACGCTCCTGGGTTTTAATTGTTATATTATTGTTTTAAATCTTTAGCCCGTACCATAATATTTTATTAAACTAACTCGATTTTTTATGTGGTGGAGCAGCGCTGCAGCCATATTATGGTTACCTCCTATTGTGGCAAGAATGGGTCGGCTCGAACGGGGTAGGACCACGCTTTCATAGAATACCAGCGTAAAATAACAGCTTGATGCTGCTGTGTTTCGTGTGGTGAGTGTTGAGAACCGGAGACCTGTTTTAGTAGAAACGAGGCATTGCATAAATAATGCTTGCACCTTAGTCCTCAGGGGTGATAGTGCATTTGCATTTTAATTTTTAATCGAGGTTAATGTAGATGTCCATGGGCCACAGCATTCACTTACCACCATATGAACTGTGTGCTCGTTTGTCACGCTAATTATATAAAAAAAACATCTAAATAAAATAAGATTTTTTTCGTTTAAACTTACATACTACGAATAATTAAAGCTTTATCGCAAACATATCCTTTAAAACGATCTATTTTATAGCGAAAAATTGTCTATATATATAGCATTTAGACACACCATCCGGGCCTTTTTTACTATCTATTCTTATTACTTTGACCACATTGACCCATATTGACCATTTTTGTGGGTATGTAGGAAAAAATTCAGTATCGTTTTTGTTTGGTTAATATACATTTTCATCAGTTTACGCTAGCTAAGCAAAAGTTTTCTTAAAGACAATCCCACTGCCTCTGAAAACACGGACAACATTTATGAAAAACTACAAACTAAGTATTGACTCATACAAATAACGTCAGGCCACTAACGGACTATAGATACTGCAGAATAATAGAGATTTTTGAAGATGAAGTATACCTACTCAGATTATAATCTGTTGTAGGAGTACCTATGCCTAGTTACAAAAATAAAAAAGTGTATTTGTGTCCTACTACACTGCCTTTTTTTACATCTCCATATAACGACAAACTCTTTAAGACGAAAGAAAACACTCGTTCCCTTGAGTTTTGTTCAGAATTTACACTATAGTTTACGTATTTTTTTGCTAGCTTGGCAGTCAGAACTCACGTCGAGAGACCAATCAGCTGCCATTTTACCCCACAATGCGGATCTGAGTATACGCGCTTACAGCCCAGCGACAAAACTGTCGGAACTACGCACTCACTGCTCGCGAAATCTTATCTAGTTTCTAGCTCTACTCGCTTCTACTCGTTCGTCGTTGGCAGTGGGACAAGTGCCTGCTATCAAAGCGGACAAAGGAATTATAATAACATTCGATATGCATCCACAGAAATAAAATATTTGTTTTATATTTATCATTGTATCATTTTAAAATTATCAGCCATTGTTAACTTTATTCAGTAATGGAGTACCAAGTAGTCATTTAAATTACATAGGGCAACACAAAAAGGTAATAGTTGAAAGTTAAATTAAAAAAGAAAAGAGATTAAGATTTATTATACATGTTTCTTACAATTATTCAATTCTTACAATTATCTTCCTCTAGGTTTCCAAATGCAAACACTGACGTAATTTTACGTCCATGCATGCAATTTTATTATTTTTTTTTTTCAAAATTTCTATCGTTTCGTTGACGCGTTTCACAGGTAAATTAATTACAAATAGAAAAACATTCAAATTAAAAACAATATTTTTATGCCTTACAAATAGTTATTCCGTGTGAAATTGGGGTCAGCTGCCCCCACTGCCGCGATTTAACTGCGACCAAATGCCTAGCAATTTATTTATAAGTATAAATTTGAATTGAAAAACAAACTTACAACCCATATGATCGTAAGTGTCTACTGCAGTCTATTGACAGCTGCAGTCTACTTTATGCAAAGAAGGCTACAAATGTGCGAGGACTAAAATGGAATGACCCATTAATTTTTTCGCCTCGTCAAATTAACAATATCTAATTTTGACAAAATAATAGGTATAAATTAATTGTGGTTTGTGTGTGTGTGTGTGTGTGTGTGTGTGTGTGTGTGTGTGTGTGTGTGTGTGTGTGTGTGTGTGTGTGTGTGTGTGTGTGTGTGTGTGTGTGTGTGTGTGTGTGTGTGTGTGTGTGTGTGTGTGTGTGTGTGTGTGTGTGTGTGTGTGTGTGTGTGTGTGTGTGTGTATGTGTGTGCGCGTGCGTAGGTGCGTGTATGCGTGCGTGCGTGCATACGTGCGGGTATGCGTGCGTGCGTGCGAGCGTGGGTGCGTGCGTGTGTGCGTGCGCGTGTACGTGCGTGCAAGCGTGCACGTGTCTGTGTGCGTGTAAAAAGATCTTCCGTATACTTATTTATAGTCCTTTTCAGTAACCATCCATGGCCACTTTTTTTAGCTTTTATTTTAGGTAGCGCGTAGATGTTCCTTGTTAACTTTATTATACAGGTATCCACCAAGATAGGGAAAAAATCTCCTAGGAAAGTAGGTGCAATGGTCATAATGAGAGGTACACACCCGGTGTTTGCGCCTCGCGTCTATACCTTTTAGGCTGGAACACAGCAAAGCAAGCACTGCCTTTTGGCAACAGAAATATGGGATGGGGTTACCTACGCAAACTCACTCCTGGGCAGAAAAGGATTAGTACAACCTTGTAAATTACGTTACCACTACTACAGGGTCGACAAAATGGCGTGGGCTACCTAGTTTGATGAGCACCAACCGTTTTTCACAAGTCATTATGCTATACAACGTACGACTACTGGAAAGGCCGGAAAGACTTCGTAGCCTGCAATAGATGGCGATGCACAATATCGTTTATGACATACGCTATTCCCCGTCTGGCTATTACATATATAAATGCGAAACTTCCAGTACGACATTTACTAATAATGTTCTCCAGACCGAAATTCGGTCACAGCGGCCAGGCTTAAACTGGCGGTCTGCGCATGACAAGATTCTAGTGTCTGAGTGTATGCGGAAGCACAGGTGCAGCCTCTATTCCCTAACTCTTACAGTTCGATGGGACGGCAAACTAACACGACCGGAGAGAGATCAGGCACAGCACCAACGGCTTTACGTGCTTCCCGAACCACGGGGGTGAGACACCGCTGATTTCCCTACTCCAGCCTGCTACTGAGAAATTATGGTCAGAAAAACTTAATAACCGATTTTTTTGCCCGAATCGAGGTTCGGACTGTATCATCAATCTTATCATCAGCAGTTACGTTTACAACCACTACACCAACTAGGCAGTACCACATTGCCAAAAAGTATCATGATTACCGGTACCTACGCCAGCCAGAGTAAAGAAGTAAACTAAAAGTAGCGGCCTATATAATATAAGTACGTCCCACTGCTGGGCACAGGCCTCCTAACATTTCTAAAAGGGTT